CTCGGTGGGACCAGACGGACTCCGGGTCCTTCCTTGGCTCCCTCTTGCCGGGCGCTTGTGAGGCAGAAGGCCCTTGTCCTCGGCCCGGTGACCTCCACGTCCACCCTCGATTCCTCCTCCGTCCTCCCTGTGCTTGGGCTTATCAGGAAGGCGATAGGCGTCCCCCTCCCTGCGGCCTCCAGGGGGCCATGCTGCCCTGCCCCGTCACGCCTGAGTTGCCGGGTGTCAGAGGTGCCTGGACTGCCCCTGGGTTGTGTGATGAGCATCTTGCAGTTAACGTTGCAAACCGACTCCTCCACGCCCCCCAGAGTGTCTGCTCCATCCGTGTGACGTGGCGGCTCCCTGCGTTTCCTAGGGCAGAGATGTCACGTCCCTGTGCTCTCCGGAACGTCCCGTCTGTCACCTTTACAACAAACCAGGCACCTGCCTGTCCCCGTTGTCGCCCACCTGGCCACCGTCTTCGTGACACTGGCCCTCAGACATCCTGATGGGACTGCCCAATGACAGTCCAGTGTCCTCAGGTCACTTAGGGCTAACGCGGAGTCCTGCGGTGATGCCCCCGGCCCTCGGGGACCGGCTTGTTGCCATCCCTCCTGGCTCTGTCCCGTCAGCTGCCGCTGCTGCCCCTGCAGCCCCCACGTGGCCTTCCCTCCCTATCCCCCGGACGCCAGCTCGACAGAGTGGGGACTTTGTCTTTCCACTGCCGTAACGCGGCGCCCACGGCTGCTGCGTACGGGTGAGCAGGTGGTTACTCGTCGCCGGCTGTTCTGCCCGTTTCCTGCGCTGGCTGCTGAGCGAGGCCTGAGTACAGTCCTGTCTCTGCCGCCTGCCGGCCCCGCTGGGAAATGGAAGGGAAGTGGAGGAGGAAGGGAAGTGGAAGTGGAAGTAGAAGGGAAGTGGAATGGAAGTAGAAGGGAAATGGAAGGGAAGTGGAAGTGGAAGGGAAGTTGAGGTGGAAGTAGAAGGGAAATGGAAGGGAAGTGGAAGTGGAAGGGAAGTGGAGGTGGAAGGGAAGTGGAAGTGGAGGAGGAAGGGAAGTAGAAGTGGAAGGGAAGTGGAAGTGGAGGAGGAAGGGAAGTGAAGGTGGAAGTGGAGGAGGAAGGGAAGTGGAAGTGGAGGAGGAAGGGAAGTGAAGGTGGAAGTGGAGGAGGAAGGGAAGTGGAAGTGGAAGGAAAGTGGAGGTGGAGGTCCAGGTCCTTTCACCTTTCCAGGTCTCTTCTCCCGTGGAGATGATGGCGCCTGGCGGTGCCGGGGCTGAGTTCAGGGGGCCAGGCACACAGGTGCAGTGTGGGCCGGAACAGCTGCGAGTCACACTCACAGGACGCGCTGCCACGGCTGCACAGGTCCTGAGCATGTCAGGGCGCTAGCGTCTTGCCACTAATGTCATGGCCGCTGCAACCCAGGGGACCCTTGCCCTAGGGAGGTCCTCAGGTCACTGCTGCTCCCGCCAGCACCCCCGTCCCTGTCCCCCTTTCTTGTCCCGTGACCCATGTGTCTTCGTGACGAGCGTGGCACCTGGGACAAGCCGGTGGCGATGACACACTCTGAGGGCAGGTGTGGCGGTGGGGCCGAGCGGTTCTGTCTCACCGACAGGTCTTTCCGACAGGTAAGTAGAGAGCGTCGTTGGAAGCTTGTTTTCTTGTTGTTTTGCCAAGTAATTTTTTGTTTTTTCTCAAAACAGGTTATTTGCGAAATACCAGTATTTTGACTCCAGGGGGATGTTCATCTCCATCGTGTTCTCAGCGCCGCTGCTGCTCAACGCCATGGTCATTGTGGTGCGTACCCCACACACCCTCGTCCCCGGGTCTGCTCTCGTGGCGCTTCCCCTTCTCAGCCATCTCCGCACGACCGTCCGCAGGTCCTGTGGGTGCGCCGGACGCTGGACGCGATGGCCGACCTGAAGCGCGCACAGGAGAGCAGGAGAGAGAGGAAGAGGAGGAGAAAGGAGGAGTGAGGAAGGGTGACGCCGTCGCTGCGTCCTGGGTGTGTCGGCTCCGTCCCGTCCCCACCGTCCCGTGTCGAGTGCCGCGGTGCAGGCGTCCCCTGCAGCCGACTCGCGGTCCGAGACGCGGCTCTTCTGTTTCCACCTCGCGGCGCTGGCGCACATGCTGCAGGCGGCTTTCACGCAGCGCTGATCTGCGCCTGGCGGGATCTGCTGGCCCTGGGCCCTGTCAGGCTGCCGGGTCTCTGGTGAGGCCGTGGGAACGGTCTCCCCGCACAGTTGCGTGGCTTGGAGCTTGATTTGCAGGTGTCCACGTCATTTATGGAGTTGGTGTGAATTATGAATGTTCAGTGAATATTAAACGTGCAGCTAATAAACGGCCACGTGCCCACGGCCCCGTGCCCTGCTCGTGTGTGTGGCAGGTTCTCAGCGCAAGGCGGTTGCCTTCCAGGAGACTCGGGGGGCGTTTTTGGTGGGGGAGCCCCTTGCATCTGTTGGGAGGAGCCCGGGGTGTGAACAGCCGCAGCGCACGGGACCCCGCAGAGGAGGCCGCTCTGAGACCCCTGAGAGAGGCTGGAAAACGTGCAGGACGTCCGAACCGAATGACCCGGCTGCCCCAGGCTGCGGCGCTGAGAACGTTCGTGGGGAACGTCAGAGCAGAGGGGGAGCCGTGGCCAGGATCCCGTGGGAAGAGTGTGTTGAGTGAGCTTTTGATTCGCTTCTCAGGAGGAAATACTCAGAGTGATGCAGCTGTTTCCACCAGTGCGTTCCCGTGGCGGATGAAGAGAGGGAGTCTGTCCCCGCCCACGCGCCGCAGTTCTTCCCCCACGTGGATGCTGGGGAACATAGTGCTGTCCCTTTTGCTAGAAAAAAATGTTTATTCTCATGAGTTTATTTATAAATAAATAAGTTATATAAACAATACAGAAAAGTTGTAGAACAGGAACAATTTAAACAGTCATTTAGCACGTTCCCTGGACCAAAAACTCTCTCGCCCTCCCCCCTACTTTCTCTGCCCTTCCATTCTGTTTGGTGGCTCCGTGCTTTATTTTTTGATTCTGACTTTTTATGTTTTCCACTTTGCACGAGGCATGTATTTAAACAACCAGACGCTGCCCTCAAAGGGGAAAATACGGAGGATCTCTCCCCGGTTGGCCCCGGCGTCGTCCAGCCTTCTCTGTGTGAGGACAGGTTTGCCCCCGCGGAGCAGCCTGGAGGAAAAGAAGTTAGAACCTTGTCCTTGGTTTTACAGCGATGTATTTACAGAGTTGATTTTGGAGACAGGTTAGGAAGGTGAACCGCTGCTCTGCAACGCGAAAATCACCAACGCTACGTGCCTAGTGGAATCCCGGCTTCAAAGGCGTTCACGGCGTCACAAGTTAGTTTCACAGAAAGGACACGCAAGTGGGCGACCACATCTGAACACACAAACCAGGGAGCTTGCGGACGCCCTGCCTTCTCAGTGTGACACCTCACCCTCTGTGTGTTACGTGGACTGTCTTCATGCGGGGCCCTCGGACCGAATCCCAGCCTCCCTGTGATAAAACGGTGCAATGGTGTCGCTGGCTTTGCGTGAACTCGATGTTAATGACTTACGTCGACGTAAAGTGTGTGTGGGCTATTGGTTTTCATTCTGTGTGTGCACGCATTGGAGCAGAATTTTGTTTTCACAAAAACGAACTTCATTTTTAACTGCTCAGTGAGTTCATACTCAGTATCTTAAACTGCAGTGTTAACAAGTGTCTCAATATTTTGTCCTCACGCTAGGAAGAGTCCTAGGAACCCAGGTTACCTGCAGACAGTTGATGATTCATGAAAGTGCGCCGTTGTCGTCCCAGTTGAAGAGTCAGGGTGGTCGGAAGGTGCCGAGTCCAACCTCCGTAAACACGGAAGGATTCATGGGCCGTCTTCCATGCTATTCACGTAAAGCAGATGTTTCTACTCTGTGTCTGTGGACGAAGAGGAAAGGAGATTTGTGATTAAAATATTTTGCACATTCCAGACTGGTGACACCTTAAATGTATTGATTGCCACTGAATAAACTGTGTCTGTAATAGTATTTAGTATGTTTTTTCCGCAAAATTGTGTATTTGTTTTGAATCTTCCTGGAAGTGGAAACAGGAGCACCCAGAACGCCCCTGGGGGGTCCCCTCGCCACCTGGCGCTGAGCTTCGCGGGCTGGAACGTCGGCCCTGTCACTGCGGGGAGGGAAGTCGGCTCAGGCACAGACACACGTGTCAGACACGAAAGCGGGACGCAGACGTGAGCGGCAGGGAAATGTTAGCACGTTCTCTCCCTTCACAGAAATGGACGCGAGAAGCGAAACAAGTCGGGTTGGTCGGGGGATTCGGAGCAGCTGCTTGGTGCCGCGTTGGGCTCAAGTCAGAAGAGGGGACCGCTGGCCGAAGAGCCACCCGTCCCGAAGCAGCCACGGGATTCCTGAACTCCCCTCTGGAAAAGCATCTCGGGCTTCCTCTCCTAGACTTCCGCGGACGCTTTCCTCCCCGCATTACACAGAACACGTTTCAGTGCAGCCTGTGTCTCTGCATGTCGAACACGTGAGAACCAGTGACCAGCCGTGTTATTTCTCTAATCAAAACAGTGAGGCTGAGTCATCTGTGCAATGGATTTTGTCACGGTGAGCGTTGACCACGGTAAACTGCTGATTTCAGGGGTGCGAAGAGGGTGTGTCGGGTCTGGCCCCACGGAGACCCTCGGGCTGGACTCACAGGATTCGGGCCAGCGGGGCACAGGCAGAGTCCCAGGTGGACAGCTCTGTCCTCTCCAGGGGACCGCACGGGGCCCTCGGTTCTCCCAGTAGCGATGTGGGCACACGTGGGACGTGCTGCCAGCAGGAGGCCCCTGAACATGTGCGCTGGGGCGTGTGGGCCGTGCACCTGTTCCCGGGTGCACACAGGTAGTTACTGAACGTCTGGGTGCCAGACAGTTCAGCCGAGCTGGCAACCTAGTGGAGGGAGACAGTGTTTGCACAGAGCGAATGGAGCGTGATGGGACGTTTGCAGCGCGGAGAGGAGTGAAGCAAGCGGTGCTGGGTTGGCCCTTCTGAGTTCTGACAGGTGCTCTCGTGTGAAGCAAATCTAGAGAAGTGAGGAGGAGGGAGCAGGGATCTGGGGTGTCCCGGGCAGGGCCAGCTGTGGGAACGCCTGGGGTGGGTGTGTGCAGGGGCAGGGAGGGACCGTAGGCCCTAGACCCCGCCCAGGCTCCGGCTCTTCCCGAGGGAATTGCGTGGTCACGTGGGCTGCTCGGGGGGATAGGCGGGGCCTGGCTTGAGTTTTCAGCTCATGGCTCAGGCTGTGGCCTTGAGGGCGGACCAGCGAGGGAGGTGGACATGGCGGCAGCTGGACCAGGCGGACTCTGCCTTGGGGTCTCGCAGGGGGCTGACGGCTGAGGGTCTGAACGTCCTGGGGTGGGGACGTGCAGAGGAAGAGGGTCTGTGTTTGTTTCTGTTTTTGCTCTTTGGGAGGCGTCAGGTGCTTGTTGGAGACGCAGAAAGTCTGAGACGTGCGCCCGACCAGCAAGGGGACCCGGGGAAGCCGTGGTGACAGGCGGGCCTGGGGGAGGGCGAGGGCAGGTGGACAAGAGGACCTGGGCCTGGAGCAGAGGGGACCCAGCCGGCGAGAGGAGCGGGTGGCGTCCAGGCCAGGAGGGTGCTCGGGGCAGCCTCAGCCGAGCAGACGGGGCCGCAGCATCCAGCGCCTTGACTGTGGTGGTCCCTGCCGATGTCGCGGTTAGTGTCACGGCGCCGCGTCTAGCTCGGTTTTCATTGTCCTGTGTCGTTCTCAGACTGAGGGTCTTTCTTCCACTTGGGACATTCCAGCTGCTGTGTCAGGTTGGTCTCGCCTCCCCGCCTTGGGACTTGCTGGGACTTCGACCACGGCCAAATCTCTGAATTTTTCTGAATTTCAGTTCCTCCTTGTGAGAAGGTGTGCAGTGATATTTGACATACTTTTTAAAGTAAGGTCCCTGTAAGGATCAAGATGTGTATGTCAGATCTCCCCAAGCTGTGTGCAGGTGACGGCTCTGGGGCTGGCGACGGGGCGGGATCTGTCTCACGTCAGACGGTTGTGTGTCCAGGGTGTGTCCATGTGTCACTCCAGGCGCCTGGTGGGAGCAAAGAAAGGTGAGCAATGCCTGAGTTCGGTAGGGAGGTGCTCACTCGCTCTGCACAGGTCCCGCCTTCTACGCCGTAAAATGGAAATGTCAAACATTGAGCCCTCTCCCCTCTGGTCTCCAGCGCATTCTGGTTCTTTCCCCGCTGTCTGGGGAGGGTGCTTCCTTGGGGCCTCCCACGGGCACCAGGACACTATGCCAAGTAGAGGCATGTGTTTGGGCTGCTTAAGGAAAACACTGTCACGTTCAGAAAGGGAAGCCTGATGGTTCTGAGTGAGGGATGTCGTCCTGAACTCGGGGCGGACCCTGATGACACGGCCTCCGTCTCCTGTGTTCGTGGAGATGGGTTGCGATGTCCAAAACGCCTTGTGCATTCTTGCCCGACCAGAAGCAAACCCAGACACGTCCACACACTTAAGCGCACACGTGCACACAGGTATGTATACACATGCACTCACACTTGCACACGTGCATACAGCACACTTAATATATATACGTGTATATACATGCGCACACGTATGTATACACATGCACTCACACGCTTGCTCACCTGCACAGACGCAGGCCTAGAGAGAACGTGGCTGATTCACCTTCCGTTGCATCAGGAAAGGCCACACCGCACCTGCACAGACACCTGCACGTGGATCGGTGGACAGATCTGGGTAAGTGGTTCCTGCTTGCTAGAGTCGACGTGTTGAGAGACGTAAAGGACAGAGAGTGGAAGGTGACCGGCCGCTCCCTGGGGAACGTGCGGTTATGACACACGGCGACTCAGGTGATGCCGGAGTGCGTGTGGCCGCGCTCCTTGTCCTCACCACACCTGGTGGTGTCAGGGTTCGGGGTTGTGGCCTTTCTGTGGGCCGTGGTGGCCTCTTACTGATATGAACTAAGAGAGACAGAATTAGAAATAAATATTCATTAGCATTCATTCTGTGCACGTACCCAGTAGGCGTTTAACCAGGTAGTTCTGAGCAAGGCCTGCGCCGAGGCCCGCGTGGTCCATAGAGGAGGCGCTAAAGGTGGAGACAGGAAGACAGCAGGAAAGTGTGGGCGCGTTGGGCGTCCTTGGCAACGGGAGAGGATTCCCGCATACACCTGTGTGGATCCAGGAGGACGGCAGAGAGAGAGAGAGAGAGAGAGAGAGGAAGAGAGAGACAGTGTTTGAAAATAAATGAGTTAAAAAAATTGATAATTGATTATAACAGCACACTGTCTACCAAGCAAAATAAATACAAAACAAAGCTACATCTGGACATAGTGAATTAATAGTTAAACTGCAGAACAACTAGAATAAAGGTAACATATTTAACATAGAGAGAAAACATTGAAACTAAC